CAAGGTAATATACTCTTATTTTCTCTGTTATTCAAAGTTTTTACTTTTGTTCATCAGTTCTTCGTTATCGAGAGCCCGGAATCGAAGGCAGGCATTTCATTAAGCTGTTACTGAGTCCGGGGTCATTCCTCTTAATTGGTTTGACAATTTATTACGTTCTTTATCTGTTTAATCTAACGTTTTTTATCATTTGTATAAATTCAATTGTTATCCATTTTTTAGGGTAAACAAACATATAGTAATAATAAAATGCAACAGGAGGAGGACCTAATAATGGTTTGATTAGTGAATCATCAATAAATCATTAATATACCAGTAACGCGAAGTCAACGTCGTGCAGAATGTCCTTTTTCAAAACCGGCAGATTCATAAAACAATGTTACTTCTACCATAATTAAGTGTAATATATTAATTAACTATAATTAAATATAAAAATATATATGAAAATACGTATCAGACACTTTTGGTATACGCATTGGCTAATCTCCTCTTCCTTTAGTTGGTGTAGCAACTGGAATGTGCTGGCAGATGCATGGGGTGAGGAAATTGTCTTACCAGTCTTGACTAATTGATGCTGCCTTCACCTCCCTAAAGTCCTAAACTGATCATATCAGCTGCCACCTAGGGAGGATTGAGGAATGTGTATGTGCACTATTGATTTGGCTAAATTCGGTATACCTAACGACAAATCCAATGTACAGATATATTCCAATTGAAAGCTTCCTCTAAGTTAACAAAATTTTGTGTCAACTAATCAATAAAAGACAAAGAAAATGTCGATTCTATTTTCAACAAGCACCAAAAAAAGCCAATCAAAACCCAAATAACACGAAGAAGAATATAAGGAAGACATAAAAATATATGTATGTGGAGAGAGGGTGTATACAATAAACATATTTTGTACCAGAAAATAAAGCAAGAGATATTCCCAAATCATATGCCACAAGATAAAAGCAAGAGATGGACCCAATTTCAGATTTATCCTTTGTACAACGAGAAATGACTCACATCGGCTCAAGAAGAAGAAGAAATCTAAAATAAAAAATAAAAAATTTAAAAAAAAAAAAGGAGGCTAAAGCTTATGCACAACCAAGAAACGCAAGGCAGCTACGACACTGTCCTTTGCAGAACCTAAAGAACAATAATCTGACAAACAAAAAAAGCCAAAGCATAAAACAAGTACACAATTGTCTTTTAGCTCCAAAATTCTAACACCTCATCCTTATTGAGATGATGAACATAACTCAACACCCAACCACTTAATTCTGACCGTAATATTCCCTTTTCACCGAAATATTACATCTTTCGCTTACCGGATTTGGGTCGTCGGTTAGATTTTTCATTCTTTCCAAAGGCGCTACAGAATCCACATGCAGATACTTTAGGAGACGGCGGCTCTATTGCCGGCGACACCTTACCAGTTCGGAACCCGCGGTTAGATCGGCTCCTTTCAATGGATCCAGCTGTTTCTGATGAAGCCTTATTCACAGACACCGACACCTCCAATTTGGGTTTTGCTCCTCTAATTGGATCTTCTTTTTCTTCTCTGTCAGCTTTAGTACTACTTTCTTCTTTAGGAAAACGGCCCAGCTGAATCAATTCACCTGACGCTGTCAATATTTTGTCGTCCCATACAAGTCCTGATGAACCCTGTCTCCGAAACGACGTCGTGGATCTCTGTAATCCAGCCATCAGAGAATTGAGGGAAAAAGTTAACACCTACCTCAAATATTTTTGCAGAAAGTCTTGTTCTTTTATACTGGGTTGGACTCTAGATCTTTCTCGGGATGAGCACTGTGAAAACAAGTATGGAGGCCCTCGCGATTGTGGTTGGACTTTTTCTCACATGTTTCTGTACCACCACCCGTATTTATAGAATGGAAGAGATAGGAATGGGACCGGTGTTCCCAAAGGACCGTAAAAATCAGCTTTTTTTAAAATCGTGTTTTTTTTCAAAATTATTTTTTCCAAAATGTACTTTCGGCAAGATATAGTAGCTAATTTACTTAAAAAGCACTTATGAGTAGTAATTAGTGTTCTGTCAAACTTTTAAAAATTATTTATAAGTGTATTTTTCTCAAAAGTATTTTACAAAAAAATATTCTTGGAGAGTAATTACTTTTTTCTGCTTCTCTTTAAAAGTATTTTTTTTTTCCCCTAAAAGCTTAGTCAAACACTTCAACTTTAAAAAAAATATTTTTTTTTTGAAAAGAAATACTTTTGGCTAGAAGCTTGGCCAAACAGATTATTAATAACTCCAGAAATTTAGAAAATTCTGGTAGTAAGTCATTCATTTTTAATAAGCCTTATCCAATGCGAATTTAAATGAGTATGTAATTGAAAAAAATGGGAGAGGTAAAATGAGATAAGTAACTTTGTATGCATTGGATTGATGGGTTTTTATTTGTTATATTAGGTTACCCACTTTATCTTTTTAGTTTTTAATATATACTTACTCAAAAATAAAAATTCTGTAATTACGTTTTAAGTGATTTGGGAAGTGTAGATTATTTTTACATACTTATAAAGATTAAACTCTAGTAGTACAGAGTATATAATATAGCTCACGGGTTGGTTAAAGGTAGTCGGCCCTTTAGTCACTCCCTCGTAATGACTCTATTAGGTGTGTAATATTTTATTAAGCATTATTTATTTTCCTAATTAATGATACATAATAAGGCATGCTCTTAGCAACTTTTAACATTCATATTATGAATTCACGCTTGTTTTATTACTTTCTTTCATGTATTCTATTTCTTTCTTAACTCTTTCGTTTCCTTTGACTGTGAGTCTGTGACTATTTCTTTATACATGAATAAAAGAAATCTGACTATAGGAATCTAAAAATGTACCTCTGCGCTTCTGCCAAATTGTCTGTTTCTTCGTTTGTTTGATGATTTTCTCTATTGTCCTTTCTTCTTCGCCTAAAGTATTTTAATACCTTTGATTGTTTCCATCGTCGGCATAGTTTTTGTATTCTATTCTTGCCATTGATTTGTGGTTACTCGTGATTGTTTACTACGTTTTAAATTTATGAATGTTACTTGAATTAAAATCAACAAGTTTTTAAATGTACCCAAGAAACTAATTTCAACCTTTTAGATTTATTCCGCCAATAAGGAAAAGATCCAGTTTTTAGAATGTAGTCGCAGTACGTTTGCTTATTTTAAAATGTCTTTTAAACTGAATCAATATTTATCTTATTTAGCTGCCACATTTTGTTTTATTAACCAACAAATGATTGAAAAATCACAATTTTATTGGAGAGAAAGAAACAGTTAATAATTTTTTTTATTGACCAAAAGCAATTTAATACATTTAATTTGAAACAGAACGAGACCATAAGGTTGGGAAATTAGCTAGGTTAGGCGCTACATATTAATTGTCCGTCCAACCAATCCAATATATGGGTTCTAGCTACTTCGCCATTTATTAGTGTTATTGAAGACAAATTCTTCGAGTCCAATTATATTAATTTTGGTGCCATTCCTCTATCCCCGTAATATACAGTAGACATTTAATGTTTTACTTTTCCCCGTCTATGCTAGTTGTTATGTTTTTAATGTACATGTTCTTCAAATTTAATATTATACATTTTGATTACTGTAGTTATTTACTCTTCAAATTTGGACTTTCTATTGTGCAATGTTTTCTGATTACCTATAAATAAATTATCTTTGCTAGCTGTAGGTAAGGATGTCAAAATGATTTTGCAATTACTATGCGGAACAGTCGTTCCACCTATCTTTTAGGAACAAATCGGTGGACGAATTATTGATTGCTAAATGCTAATTAATCAGTAAACTTTGTCCTATATTACTTCAATCTAAGGTTCAGTTTTACCAGATAACGATCCCATCTTTTATTCTCGCTTCTAAAATTTTCACAGGTCTACATCACTAAGAAAATAAAATTAAGAAAACGCCAATCAAGAGGTGACCTACTGCGTTTGTTGGGAGGAGTATTCAAGTGCATGTGGACTTTTTCATTAAATCACAAGTCACTTAGGCCACAGCCAATTGGGTTTTGTCACCATCAACGCTGCGTAGAAAATTGCGTGTTCCTTTCAAACATGGCAACTTATTTATTTCTTCTCTCATGTTTTTTTTGGGTTGCTCTAATGGTAAGCAACCTCCACTTCCAATCAAGAGGTTGTGAGTTCGAGTCACCCCAAGAGCAAGGTGGGGAGTTCTTGGAGGGAAGGATGTCGAGGGTCTATTGAAAACAATCTTTCTACCTCATGGTAGGTGTAAGGTGTGCGTACGCACTACCCTCCCCAAACACCACTAGTGGAATTATACTGGGTTGTTATTGTTATTGTCTCATGTTTTTTTATTTATTATACAAGTCAATAGCTTGGAAAATTCATGCGCTCCCTCTTTCGGCTCAATTATTAACAAGTTAATTGTGTTTAGTTTTTCTCTTTTCTTAATTGATTTATGATTAACCTTTTGAATTCAAAGTATATAAACACACTCAAAGCACCGCACACATCAATGTCAAACATTATCATCATCAGCATTATATATATCATTAATTAGCCATCTGTTATGAAGATTCAAGTTGCTTTTTGGCTTTTTGCCTGCTCATTGTTGCCCTCAAAGATGACCACGAATGCTAGGTCAACTTGTGGGGATTGAGATTAAATCAACTTTTATCATTATCCTATCACTAATAACCCAGCTCTATTTCATTTATAACCAGGCTAGCTAGTAGTAAGCCTTAATTCTTTACCTTTATCATTATTTTCCCTTCACTTCTATTTCCTGTCAACCATTTCCAATGATTAGTGCAAGTGTGAAACATACGTAAGCATTAATTCCTGTAAAAAAACTGCTATAATCTTACGTTAAGATGCAGCCACTCGTGAAATTACACGGGATTCGTTGTTATTGTAATCTCACATTAAGGTGCAACACGAACGCCTATATGCAAGTAACTGGACATATTCTATACCTATATTTCTTCTTTAGCAAATAAGTTATTATTATTATTATAACAATCCTGAATATAGTGCTTTTCTACCCATCAGGCACTTGCAGAGTCAAAGAGCAAGAGTGGGCTATTCCTGGGTGGGCCTTTTCTTCCGTCGAACAATTAAATAAGGGAATTGGGTTAAGACCTTGTTCGCTTTGAACTTCTTGATAAGGCTCAATTAACATGGGCCATTGAAAGAACTAGGATAGACCTGTCTTGTTCTTTTTGTTTTTTTTTTGAGAAAATGACCCTCTATAGCCCCTCAAAATTTTAATACCTCATTTTTTTTTCATTGACACGAAATGTTCATTTGCCCCAAACATATTACATCTAATATCCCGAAATATTTATTTTGTATATTTTTTGTATAGTGACAATCTATTTTGTATAGTGACAGTCTATTTAGTATATTTTTTGTATAGTGACAGTCTATTGTATATAAATTGTACAGTGATAGTCTATTGTGTATATATTTTATATAGTGACAGTCTATTTAGTATATTTTTTATATAGTGACAGTTTATTGTATATAAATTGTACAGTGACAGTCTATTTTGTATATTTTTTTTATAGTGACAGACTATTGTATATTTTTTATATAGTGACAGTCTATTTTGTATATATTTTGTATAGTGACAGTCTATTATATATAAATTGTATAGTAACAGTTTATTTAGTATATGTTTTGTATAGTGACAGTCTATTTAGTATATGTTTTGTATAGTGACAGTCTATTTTGTATTTATTTCAACGTTATGCATAATGGATATTCAGTGATATTCAGGTTTTTCTTTTTCATCTCCATATACAAGCGCACACTCATTTTTTGTATAGTGACAATCTATTTTATATATATTTTGTATAGTGACAGTCTATTTTAGTATATTTTTTTGTATAGTGACAGCCTATTGTATACAAATAAAATTTGCTCAATTAATTTCAGGAAACAGTTTTTGTTGAATTTGGTATTCTTCAAAGTATTTTAAACAAAACAACAACTACTGTCTACTACGTATCAATCCTCATCTATTTGAGACATTTGTATGACTCCCATTATACATTTCGCTCAAATAATATAATGATTTTCGAAAAACAACAAGTATTTATTAACTTTTGAAAATACATCAGCAAAACCTAAAGTCTGAAGTCACCGATTGGTCACATTGCGCCGTACCTCTTTTTTTTATAATTTTTTTTAAATATTAAAGTTGATCAATTCCTTTTTCCAGTTTGATAAAATATTATTATTTTGGGATATTTGATATCCAAGAACATTCTTGGAGTAATTCATCACATCGGGCAAAAGAAATTAAGTGCTGGGTAAAGAATTGAAAGGCACTTGTGATAATAACGTTATTTCATATCCAACAATTGCAAAAACCACAAGCGGTATTTTGACAATAAGAAAACTGATTTTGTATATCATTGGTGGAAGATTGGAACAGCTCGATTGCAACAAAATCTACCGCATTTGAGTAAATTTAGGCTAGCCATTATAATTTATTTGAGGTTATAAATTGTATGGCTTAATTCATGGCTAGTGAATGATAATTGGCCGGCTACAAATGAAATTTGCTCTTGTTTGTTGCCTTCTTCAATTTTTATTTTTATTTTTGAAAAAAAGAAGAAGATAAGACGTTATAAATACAATCAACTAACGAAATAAGTTAAACCATACGAATTATATACAATGAAGATAAGTAATTAATTAATTAATTTGGTAAAATGAAAAACAAGAGTGGTAATTTAAGATGCTTCAAAAGCATCTGTTTTTGGCTTTCTTTAGTTATTCTTGAAAGTATTATAAAGACAAAGACATAAATAATTTAATAAGTAAAAGATAAAACCAGCTATAATAATAATAAAGCAAAGTGACCAATGT